GGAAACAATTAAGGTAAACACAACCCAGCTGAGGGAGCTGTCCTTGCTAAAAGTCACATTTTGTTTTAATAATGCCGTATTTATATAAATTCCACACTTTTAACAAGTTTCCCATTTCCTTGATATTTAATCAGTCCTGTAAATATTTTGCCTGGGCTCAAAGGGGTTTGTGAAATCAGGAATCAGCAGGGAGAGCCCAAATCACCAGTGGGCACTTGGCATGGATGTGGATGTGGATGTGGATGTGGGCAGAGACTCAGGGGTTAATCCCTCCTGCATGTTCTCCCAGAGGCTGAAAGTGGCCCTGAATCAGGTTGGGAGGGCTGGGAGGCAGCTCCTTGTTGCTGTCCCAAATCCAGAGCTTCTCAGTTGCAGGTTGTGAGGGAGCTAAGTGGGTTTGGAAAAGCCTTTGGAAAAAGGCTGTCACTGTGAATCAGTTTATTAATGGAGAGAATTACCGACCGTCATGCTAAGGCAGCTCCACCTGATGCATCATCCCAGATCAGGAATGGCTCTGCACAGCTCCCACGTGCAGCACAGCCAGGGGATGCCAGTGCAGCACCTCCAAAATGCACAGGAGACAAAGGCATTTGTGCAGCTGCCATTGATCTCTGCCCTGGGTCACCTTCAGCAGCATCACCAGCTCTGCTGTGAACAGCACAGGGGTGAATTTCTCCCCCTCATGCAGCCTGGCCAGAGGAGGGACAGCACCATTGTGAGAGCCCAAACATTGTCATGGGGTGATTTTGGGAGCTGTGCAGGGCCAGGAGTTTGACTCGATGCTCTCGTGGGTCCCCTCTAACGAAGGATGTTCAATGTTTCTCCAGGTGAACAGGCAGGTCCCACTCCAACTTCTTCAACAGTGACTTCGAGTCAGTTTTTTTTCATCACTTGTCATTTTCCAGCTTTGAATACATCCCGTGGGTGAGTTTCTTGAAAGAGACGGCACATCTGTCTTCATTGCTTTCCTTTGCTTTTTTTTTTCCTTCTGAAAAAGCAGGAACAATACAACCCATCTTTCATTGCACCAACTGGTATTGCTAAAGGGTGGGAAAAAAATTCGGTGCTGTTTTGTTCCTTTTTCTTCCCACCTTCATTAACTTTAACATGTACTGTGCTCCTGTTTCATTGCTAGAGAAGAGAATCTTAGCTTGAACAATCTTGTGTTGATTTTCCGTTCTCTCAAGTACCGGCTGGTCTAATTAGTTTGGAAATGCACCATTTGTTAAAGAAGATGAGGCACAGTCTGACACCTGCTGTATTAATTATTTACCTCTTTATCTAATTGCCTGCCTACACTGTTAGGTGAGGGAAGTTGTCACCCATGTCTTCATTTGAAGGTGTGGAACAGGAAGGGAGGCAATGGTGCTGTTGGGAAGGTCGCATTTTGGGATGATGGAAGTGGGGACCTCAACTAAACCCTGGCACCCAGTGCCACATCCAGTCTCTTTTAAACACATCCAGGGATGGTGACTCCACCACCAGACCATTCCAGAACTTTATCACTCTTTCCATAAAAAACTTTTTCCTAATATCCAACCTGTTCTGTCAGTGCCTGGAGAAAGAGCCCAGCCCCAGCTGGGCACAGGCACCTTTCAGGAGCAGAGTGATGGGGGCAGCCCTGTGCAGAGTGATGGGGGCAGCCCTGAGCATCCTTTTCTCCAGGCTGAGCATCCCCAGCTCCCTCAGGGCTTCCTCACAGGGTTTGCGCTCCCAGCCCCTCTCCAGCCTTGCTGTCCCCTCTGGATGGGCTAAAGGGTCTCAAGGTCCTTCCCCAGCTGAGGGGCCAGAGCTGGGCACAGCACTCAGGGTGTGGCCTCACCAGTGCCAAGTACAGGGGCAGAATGACCTCCCTGCTCCTGCTGACCACACCATTCGTGACGCAGGCCAGGAGCCCTTGTCCTTCCTGGCCACCAGGGCACACTGCTGGCTCATGGTCACTGCTGGCTCATGTCACCAGTGCCTCCAGGTCCCTTTCCACCAAGGCACTGATGATGGGGAGCAGGACACCCCAAATGCCCCAGTGCCAAGAGAACAAACTGGCTGGGGAGGGGAGAGGAGCCTGCAGCACAGACCTTGTGTGCCTGGGGAGCTGGAGGTGGGCTCACAGTGACCTGCACAGAGCCCCAGCTCTCCTGGGCTGATGGAGAGCCCAGGGCAGCCCGGCTGGGGGAGAAAAGCCAGGGCTCTGGCAAGAGCCAGAGCTGCACATCCCCTGTGCTGTGCCTTCCTCCCCGCCCGCACTCAGCCTCCTCCTGACATCTAGTGGGAGCAGGGAGCACGGCACAGGGAGCCCTGCCAGCTCCAGCTCCCGGGCACACACAGCACAGGCCGGGCTGCCAGAGCCACCCAAGGGGCTGGCACCAGCCACAGCCACAGCTGGGCTTCAGAGGGCACAGCTGCCTCTCTGGAGCGTTGCTGGGGGGGATTCAAGGTGTAACTCCTCATGGAGGCAGTTATTAATGACATAGCAGGTTCACTCTCTGAGGGGTGGGTTCTGTTTAGGGTTATCTGCCAGCTCAGCCCACTTGAGCCTCTCTCTCTGCTGCAGCTGTTCCACGTTCCCAGAAAAGGAGCACAGCACAGCTGGGCAGTTCCTTCTTGTCCTTGCCCTGGATGGCACCTTGGGAAGCAGAGGGAAGAGGTGGGAGCAAGAGACAGGAGAGAGCTGTCCCAGCAGGACATCACCTTCCATCCAGGACCACCTTCTCATTTTAGACCCCATGCCCATCTCCCTGATCACCTCTCATCCCTAGTGCCAGCTGCTGTAACCTGCTCCCAGCCCACAGCCCTCTGCCCAGGGCTGCAAAGGCAGGACAGGGACAGATGCTGGCCACAGCATTTGGGGACATTGCCTGCAGGCTCATCCCACACTGGCCAGCATCTCTGCTGGGCTCCCATCCCATCCTATCCCATCCCATCCCATCCCATCCCATCCCACCCCATCCCATCCCATCCCATCCCTCCCACAGCCCTCAGCTGCAATGACAGGCAGGAGCTCATTCCTCCTGCCTTGTTTCACACACATTCTGTGAGCAAAACCACTTTTTTCCCGCCCCTTGCTGCCATCTGCCCTTGCTAGACCATGGTCACTGGACATCAAGGTGTGACCTGTCCATGTGTCCCCAAATCTCCCTGGGGATCCCCAAACACTTTTATTAATGAGCAGCTAAAAGTTAAACACCAGCAACAACAACAACAACAACAAAGGTCTTTATTTCACCGACCTGAAAGAAAACGTAACTCCAAGAGCAAAGACAGTAATAAAACCCACAAAGGTGCTCCAAGCAAACTGGAGCAATTTGCAGGGATCCCTTCCCAGAGCAGCCAGGCAGAGGTGGCTCTGGGCCCTCCCCAGGGTGACAGGGGATCTCCTGCATCCACCCCTTGCTGGAGGGACCCACAGGGACCCCCAGCCCTGGGGAACAGCAGCTCAGGGGGCAGGTGAGTGCCTTGGGCTGGGGATGTCACAGGGTGAGCCCACATTGCCCCTGGGGGAAAGAAAGGCACTTCCTGAATTCAGTGTCACCCTGCCACCTGCCCTGGGAGTGCAAAGCACCCCTTCACCCCCTGCCCCAGCCCTGCCAAGCTGACATCCCATGGGAATGGCTCCTTGGGAGTCCTGGTGCTCCTGGGCCAGCACTGTGGCTCAAAGGTGGAGGAGCAGCCCCAGCTCTGGGCTGTCCTCAGGTGCCCTGTGCTCACAGGGGATCCTGGGGAGCCAGCCCTGCTCCTGACTGTCACTCCAGGGAGGCACTTGGATGGACAGGGGGACAGGGGAAGGTGGTGGCCCTGAGCAGGGAGCTCTCTGGAGCCAGTGTCCCAGCCAGGCTCAGCCCACAAACACCTGCAGTGAGGAGCAGTGCCCTCATTTTCTCTCCCACACACATCCAACAGCTCTCCGAGGGGGTGTGGTGCCTTTGAGAAGTGCAGGGATAAAATTCCAGGAGCAATCCAACAACGAGGTGGATGTCACTCCTGCAATTGAACCCAAAGCCACAGAAATTATGGATCAAAGACAAAAATCCCAAATTTTCAGGATTTCCATGGAGGCCTGGTCTGTACAGAGTGTGTTTGCCCTCTGTCTAGAGACAAGCAGCAGCCAAGCACTCGCTCCCTGACATGTGGCTCCTGGCCTGGGTCACTGATCCTGCCCCATCCCTCCAACCCAGAGACTGGAATCCCTTTGACTTCACTGTGCTCCTTTGGGGGATCCTGAACTATTCTGAGTCCCAAATGCAAGGGTCCAGCCTCAGCTGAGATCCTGATTTTCTCCTGAGGAAGCAGAAAGTTCACAACAAACACAGAACAGGGGGAAATTGCATTAGTCAAGGAACAGAAAGTCTCACAACAAAACTTCCAGACTTAACTCCCTTGTGCTATCAGCTCCTCCCAGGTCCAACCCTGTAACCTGAACCCAGCCAGGGTTGGGAAGAGCAGTTTTTGGGTAGGGGACAAGCACCAAAGCTGAGAGAATTCCCCTTCCCACGGCATTTCACAGCACTGGAGTGGCAGGGAGGGGAGTGGCTGGCAGTGTCCAGGGAAGGCTCTGGCCAGCAAACAGCACAGCACCGAGCAGAGCAGTGGGAAGGGGGGGTCTGGACCTGAGAGCATTCAAATACAACCATCTCCTCACCATGTGGCCGTGGAGGTGGCTGGGAGCAAGACCATGAGTTTGAGATTGTTTAATTTAACCTTTCTTCTTGTTCAAACACAAAGCTGCAAGCAGCGGCAGAGCCGTCAGCATCCTCAAAGGGAAGCCTTTGGAACTTCTCTGCTTCCCCAGTGCCACCTCTCCCCAGCCTCTAAACTTCCTGTGTGAATCAGGACCATCTACCAAACGATCCTAAGTTGTCCTTCAAAGTGGAAGAACCCAAACTGCGGCAATCCCAGCACTCAGTCCTCCCCGTAAGGAGAATCCTCCTCAGTGCAGAAGCCACTCAGCAATGGATTTTGGCTTTGGAGACCAACCCAGCTCTGCAGCCCAGCATCCCCTCGGGTGGCACCAAGCAGCTCCAGGGGTGGCACGGACGGCACAGTGTCGCTGCCAGCTGGGCACAGCACCCAGCCCATCGCTGAGGTCCCTTTTTGGGGGATGGAAGGAGGGGCTCAAACCACACTCAAACCACACAGAGAGAGAAAGCCGAGGGTGGAGGTGGGCCCGGGGAGGGCGGGGCGCTCAGAGGCGGCGGGGGCTGCGCTCGGGCAGCAGGTGCCGGGGCGGGGGCTGCTGCAGCAGCGCCGTCAGGATGCGCTGCAGCTGCGACAGCCGCGCCCGCAGCGACGTGCAGGAGAACAGGCTCAGCTGGTAGGACGGGTCCAGGGGCAGGATGGAGATCAGCCACCAGCACCACGTCGGGCCGTCTGCTGAAGCCTGCGGGGGAGAGAGGGAGAGACCCCCCAAGTCAGAGCTGCGAGGTGGGTGCAGCATCGCTGCATCGCTGATGGCAAAGAGTTGTTCTTGTCAGGACAGCCATGCCAGCTTTGGCCAAGGTACTCATCTGGACAGCCCTTCTGTTGTCCAAGCTCAAAACTGCTGGACAAACTAATTCAATTTCCAGACAAGCATTCCCCAGGGAGCCTCCTGGCTCATCTGCATCTCATCTGTAACTAGGAGAAAGCCTATACTAAAGAGACAATGAAATATCTTGTGCATTTCCTTGTTTAAGCCGGTGCTTTTTGCAAACACAGGCCAAATCCTGCATGGCCAGTGTTTTTGGGACATTGGCCATCACTTGAAGAGGTGAGGTGCAAGCCAGCCAGGCACAGCTGTTGGGCACTGCTTTTGTAAAGTGGCTTCTTTTTCTAACCTGAGCCAAACCAAGAGGGAAAAGCTCGATTCAGCTGAAGGAGGGTGAGTTGTTTTGTAATTCCTGAGCACATCATTGATGTGACTCTTGGCCAGGACAGCCTTAGCCTGGGACAAGCCAGCAAGAATATATTTGTAACGATCCAGAGAGGAAACACTTTCTTAAAGGAGTGAAAATTAAATTTTGGGATTTTTTTTTCTCCTACAGAATCTGAATTTCTCAGAGAAGTATAACAAGCAAATTGGATCCTGTCCTCTTAGCTCTTTACCTCTGGCCAGCTATGTCTGTCTCAAAGGACCACAGTGAGAAAGGAGACTGCAGACTCAACAAACTGCAGAGTTTGCTTCTTTGCCAATTTGTTTGGTTTCTTTTTCCCAGTAAGTTTTCAAACACTCACAGTTCAGTTTCTCAGGTCTCATTTAAGAAAAGATTCTGGGAAAGATTTTAGAACTCGGTGCTCAGTTTCCAAGAACAGTTTAAAACCATAAAGAAACATCAAGCAGTTTACAAAACAAGCCCTACCAACTGTCTGGATAAGAGATGCTGTAACTGGGGTGAAAAACTGGATTTTTGTTCATCCTGTGGGGAAGCCGAGCAGGGAAGCAGGGTAGTTATTGCAGGACCAGCCCTGCTTCAAAGGCTTTCTTGGTACTCTGGTGCATCCCTTCCCTCTGGGCATTACCTGGATGTCCTCCTCCTTCTCTGGCAGTGGTCCATGCTGCATCAGGATGTGCCTGGAGGTGAGGTCCCCGTGCTCACAGAACCGCTGCGCCAGCCGATAGGTGCTCTCGTGCAGGCACTGCAGCTCCTGCAGCTCCTCCCCGGACACCTGCACGGAGCCAAGAGGGACACAGGTGTCCGTGGGCAGGATCTGTCCTGCTGCAGCCCAGGGTTCTGCCCAGCCCTGCCCTCACCTTCCTGTCCTCCAGGAACTCGATGTCGGCGGTGTGGTAGCCGTCCCTGTGGCCGCGGCTCAGCACGCGGAACCGCTGCCGGCCGATGGTGTCCACCAAGGACCTCCCGTCTGCCAGCAGCTCCACCTGACGGATCTCCAGCATGCAGCCATAGTCAGCAAAGCTGCAGGGACACAGGAACAGAAAACAGGGCTCAGCTGGGGTAATAGGAGGCAAGGGAGCTGCTTCTCCTAAAGGTATCGTCTCCAAAAGGACCAGGAACAAGATGGCAGGGCAGGGGCAAATTCAGAGATTCAATCAAGTCTCCTCCCAGTGCTCACTAAGAGGAGCTGGAGGTCACAGCCAGAGAATCATGGAGCTCAGAGACATCCTGAGTCAGAAGCTGTTCCAAGAATTGTATTGAATTGTATTTGACAGTTACAACTGGCTCTGTCCAGCTTCAGTGCTGGCCTCATTCCTTGATCCCATTTCACTCTGCACTGTGGGGAACACACCCCCTCCCTGCTGATTTTATCTGCGAGATGGCACTGACAGGAAACCTTTCAGAACTATTCAGTATTTTAGACATTTAGGGCTGGAGCAGAGAGAGGCAAAGCAGCTGGGGCAGGGGGCAGCCTGCCCAGGAGCTCACCTTTTCCCATTCTCATAGATGCACATGCCAAACCTCCTGGTGCCGCTCTCCTGGCACCGCCGGATCATCAGGCGGTACCGAGGCTCGAAGACGTGCAGAGGGCAGGAGATGCCAGGGAAGGACATCGTGCACACAAAGATGGGGATGTTCTTGGTCAGGCTGAGGGACAGAAGGAGAAATCACAGAAGTGAGACCTTCCCAAGCAAAGCCCATCCCTGCATCAGCTGCTCTCCCAAACCAGGTGTATCCTTAAGCACAAGAAGCGATGCTCCAGCACAGAGCAACACTAAAGTTCCACTTGGCTCACCAAGAGACCAAGGACAGATTCTGCCCAAAAAACAGCTCCTTGCAAAGATGGTCCCTCACTCCCAGGTGCCTCATGGAGCATGTCCACACCCACACAGCACTGCTGCAATGTGGTCCTGGAGGTAGGACAGACATCACTTGAGCAGAACCAAGCCACAACAATGGTATGGGGTGTGGACATCTATTGCAACGCTGTGAAGGCCCCGACGAGGGGAGAGAATGATGCATCTGACCCCATGGATATCAGAAGGCTAATTAATTACTTTATTATGCTATATTATTCTATACATCTAAAACTAACCCTGACAAGCACTCAACCCTGCACACAACTGCACACACTGCACTGAATCCTGTGACTGTCACCCAACAATCCTGACACACACACACACTTGGCCCTGATAGGCCAAGGAAAAAAAACACCATCACTTTGGGTAAACAATCTCCATGTTACTTTCTACTTTTGCACAAACACGGGCACAGCAAATGAGGTAAGAATATTCTTGGGAAGAATTGTGCCTTGCTTTTTTCTGCGAAGAGAAATGTGGGGCTACAGACATCCCTCTCAGAGCCCCTTCCACACCCACCCACACACACAGGAGCAGTCCCTGCTTACTTGGAGAGCTCTGCCATCTCTGCCCGGTGCAGCTCCCTGCGCTCAGCCAGCTGTGTGGGGAAGGTGGCCAGCATGATGTCCTGCAGCAGCACTGTGGGGCTGTACCTCCCAGCCTTCAGATACTGAAAGGAATTAGACCCAAAAACAGGTTGGAAAAGAGCAAGGAGGAAGCCCTGAGGCCCTGCTGGACTCTGAATCACGCTCACTTTTATTGGAACTGAAGGTAATTTTAGACCAGAGAAAGTCAAGGATAAAACCTTTGGGGGATGTTGAGCCATGGAGCAGGATGGGATGTCAGCTCCACCGAGACCTCCAGACACAGCTGAGAGCCAGGGCCCCTCCAGCACAGCGTCCTGTCTCTGACAGTGATGCAGTCCTTGTATGACAACCTAATTTCCCTGATGGTCTCATCCGAATCCCTTTTCATTAAAGATTAAATCAAATCTCCAGGCTAGCAGGTTTTCCATCCATTTCCATTTTTTAAAGTCATTAGCATTTTCTCCCCTCTCTCCCTCTCTCCCCTCTCCTGTTTACAATCTCACTAAATCACTGTGGCATCTTGTGGAAATGAATCTCTGGGTCTTAATTATCAGCTGTCTGGTCATTCCCACGTGAGTGGAGCTGACACCGCCGTGCCAGGGAGCTGCTCATGGAAGAGCACTGCACCTTCCCAGCCCAGCCCTGGGCAGGCAGCCAGCAGCTGGAGCTGGCTCCCAGCTCTCCCCTGGGCTCCATCCCGTGGCAGCCATGCCCTCACCTCTCTCAGGCTCTGTTTGCAGAGGGGGCAGTTGGGCCTGTGGTCCAGGCAGCGTTCCAGGCACTCCTTGCAGAAGGTGTGACCACAGGGCGTCGTCACCGGCTCGAAGAACATCCTGAAAAGGGAGATCAGAGTCATTGGAGTGCAGGGAGAAACAAAGGGAAAGGGGCACAGATAAGTCTGGCAGAGAGAGACCTTAATTAGCACTTTAAATAGAAAGTCTGGGCTCAGACTGCTGGGCTTGCACAATGTAAGTGCAAAATCCATTCAGTAAGATGAGAGCTGTTCCAGGCCTGAGCTCTGCTCCCCCTCTCTGCAGGGTCTCCATGGAGTCCCAGCAGACTCCATGAGTACACACATGACACCCCTCGGTCCTGCCAGGTCTGTGCTTCCCCAGACACCCACAGTGGTGTGTAATCCAAAGGGCAGTGACAGCAAAGTTCCTCCTGCTCCCCTGCTCCAGGAGCAGAGCCAGCACCAAGTGCTCAAGATGCTCACAGGTAGCTCCACGGTCAGAAATTAAATTAAGGTCTCAGGAAAGCCCTGACTACTCCTAAACACTGTTTTCTTCTTTCAGAAGAGACCCAAATTCACATAATTCAGGCCAGATGCAGCCTCAGTCTCTCTCCCCCATGCACAGACCTGGAAAAAGCTGCCAGAAGCACCTTGACCAACTTGCACGTCTGGAACTGGAACCCCCACCCAGCTCTGTGCCAGCAGCCCTTGCACAACTGCTCTGTCCTGGGATATACCAGGAATAACAGCCTGGTTTCAGCATGTGGCAGTGCAACACCAGCCCTGAGCCAGCAGACAAACACAGGCTCTGTCCAATTCCCTTTTCCACCTGCACCAGGCAAAAAGCTCCAAAATGCTCCCCTCTAGGTCTGAAATATCCCCACCATGGAGGGAATTTCCATGGGCACCTTCCTGTCCCAGCCTTCAGGTACAAAGGGCAACCACTGCTTTTGGTCTTTGACCCCACTGAACATCCCCAGCTCCACAACTCTGTCCCAGGGGATACAGTCCCAGTGATGCTGCACCCTGAGACAGAGATCTGAGCTCCAGCAACCTGGCAGGGTGTCCCATGGCCCTGCCTTCCCCTCTTATCTGCACCAAAACCTACATCTCAGAACTGAGCTTGCTATTGAGATGTGAAGAAAGATGCACACCAGTAAAGGAAACCCAGCAGGTGACAATTCTTGATCCTGCAGGAGAACTCACCGTATGCAGAGGGAGCACTCCAAGTCAGAAATGCTCAGTGACTCCCCAAGGCATGGCTGGGTACAGTTTACTGTTTCCTCCTTGTTATCTGGTGGTAAAAGAGAAGACAATGTAGGAAATTACCCTTTGCTTTCTGACTTCATTCTAAGGCGTAACTGCCCCACAAAGTGCTTTGCAAGTGTCAAAGAAGAACAAGACCACCAGGAAATTCAACATAAACCCCTCTATTAACCCATCTGTGTCCACCCATAGCTTGTGTGTCAGTGGGTCTCATGGTGCTTGGTAGAGGAAGGTGATATCTCCTCTTTTTGCAGACAGGGAAGCTGAGGTAGCAAAGTGGCCCAAAAAGCTCCAGGATGGAAGTCTCTGGAGACCTGCCATGAGCCATCACTGCTATTTGTCCACCTGGTTGGACACTGATGGCAAGTTAATGCTGATGGAGGTGCTGCTTGCCCTGCTCATGGCATGTCCTGTCCCCTACAGGGGAATTCAATCAAAACCAAAACCCATCCAAACACATGGGAACCACAGAAAGCCTCTCCCTGACTCCACACAGGGAACAAGTGATGGCTGGCTTTAACAAGAACTTGTCACCAGGCTGGAGCAAAGGTTGGTGTAAGTTCACCTGCTCACACAGAAGATCAGGTGGATCCTCCCCACATGCATGAGGAGCAGTGAACGTCCCAGCCAGAGCTGCCCCATCGTGTGCCCCTGGCATATTTGTTGAGCTGGACACAGTGCAAACAGCACATTTTCAGTGCCAAAATAGATTCCACACAAGTATTTTGCACGACACAACAGAGTGGTACCTGTGATGACACTCACCCAGCAGGCCCTGGCCCTGACTCTCTGCCGCCGCCGCCGGTTCTGGCTGGGGAAGGGTGGCTCTGTCCTGGCTCTGCTCACACCCAGCACCCCCTCGGCCCTCTGCCAGCTCTCCCTCCTGATCCTAGGCACAGCAAGATGCAATTGAGCCCAAACCCTCTTCTCCCTCTGTCCCACCAAGCACTGGCAGGTGTTCTGGTGTATCACTGCACATTAACAGCTTCCATCTGCAGGACAGCAGGACAGAGGCCTTCAGACACTGCTGCCCACCACATGGTTAAAACACGGTTCCCTCTGTCCAGTGTACCAACTGCTATTTGGGTGTGTTCTGAATTCCCTCCTCTCTCCAAGCCTGCTAAATTTGTTTATAAAGGCAAAGAGGAAAATAAAAGCTTCCTTAGCAGCTGTTACTGGTCTGAACTATTCTCGAGTGTGTCTTTTTTTTTTCCAAAAAAACTGAAACTCACTTTTTGTTTTCCTTTTTTTCCCCCTGTATGTAGTGAGATGAATAAAGAGATAAAGTCCCCTCTGTTTGCTGAGTCCCCACAGCATCAGCCCTGATGACACCTGCTCTCCCACCCTCCACCAGCTGCAGATGCCAGCACCCAACCAGGTAAGCATGGCTACATGTCCTGCACAAGCTCCCCTTATCACACCTCCTTTCCCATCACTGGGATGTCCCAGAGGAACATGAAGTCTCCTTGCAGACTCAGATTACAGGCTCTTACCTGAGTTTCTGTGCAAGATGGGAGCACTGGGCTCCCTTCATTGACCTGGGAACCAGCTAAGCTCAGGTGAGCATCACCCAGGTGTGCAGCCGTGCATGGCTGAGGAGCATCGGCTTCCATGATGATCTGCAAGGACAAAGCAAGAGTTGGGGGATGCTAGAAGGAAAAAGCAAGGAGGTGGGAGGGCTGCCAGGCTCCCTCTCTTTCCCCAAAGGACCCTTCTGGTGTCTGTGCTGGCTGAGCCCTCTGTGGAGCCCTTCAGAGGACAAGGACATGTCCCTGTGTGAAGTGAGAGCAGAGGGACATGGCAGAGCCCACACACCTTCTCCATCTCTCTCTGAGCCAGCTGGCAGTGGGGACTGAGTGCCAGGCAGTGTTCCCACGCCTGCAGGGCTTCAGCTCTCTGCCCCATCTCCAGGAGCACCTTCCCTTTCCTGAAGAAGGCCTGCAGAGCAGAAAGAACATGTGGTGACTATGAGACAGTGACCAGCAGAGCATGTCCCCCTTCAGCTCCCATGCCAGCCCCAGGGGAATGTCCCTTTGTCCTTCCTGCTCCCACCCCATCCCAAAGCACCTGGACATGGCACTGCTCCCTAAAAAACCCAGGACTCCCCAAAGTGCAGCAGCCAAGCCTAGGGAGAGTTGGAGTGAAGGATGGACACAGTGCCAGACCTCTCCTGTGACAGCAACACAGCACCTGCCACCTTGGTTGGCACCCCAGTGGCTCTGCAAAGTGCATCTCTGAGCAGGATGAACCCAATGGAGAACTGAGGAGGGGGAAAAGCTGCTCCTGTGCAGTCCATGTGGCTTCACTCACCTCGTGGTGCCCAGGCTCAGCCCTGCACACAGCATCCAGGTCCTCCAGAGCCTGTGGGAGCTGCCCCAGGGCCAGCAGGGCCTCTGCCCGGCACAGCCGCAGGGAGCTGCACTCCAGGGCTGCAAGAGAACGTGGGACATGAGCCCTGGACCAGCCTGGGGACAGCCACCACCACAGGGGCACAGTCCCTGTGCCACTGCCTCACATCAGTGCTCCTCATCAGGAGACACTGGCTTTGTGAGCCTCTGAAAGGAAATCATTCCCCCTAAATACCCAGTTTAAAATTGTTTAAGGCTCTTCCCTTTGTTTTTTTTCCCCCCATCTTCCCTAAAACACCCTCAGCCAAGAGGCCCCACCACTGCCTCAGGGCTCAGCCATGCTGGGATCTGGGCTTTCATCCATCTTTTGGGGATGGAGCAAAAGAAAAGCTCCACCACACACGTACAGGGCTGTGGCCACAGCAGGCTCTGTGATGTGACTCACCCAGCAGAGCCACAATAACACGTTACCAAACAGGGCTGCAGGGCTGGATACCTGAACTCCCAGACCCACCTGGCTGCCACTGCTCTCCTGGGACACACGAGAAGCCAAAGGGGTGCAAGGATCTGCTTGCACCCCATGACCTGGGGTTTCCAAGTATGAGAAAAGGCTGAGATTTCCCAAAAAAGAGGAAAATAATTGAAAATCCAGTTCCTTGTCAGTAAGATGTCACTGATGGGACATCAGGATGCTGGGGGAGCACAGGTCCCACAGACACTGCTAGCCATGACACCAAGCATTACATGCTCCTGCCTTCTCCTAAAAAAAACTGGCAGTGAGATCCTCTTCTTTCCTGCCTCAGAAAACCACACAAAGATCTTCCTTCCTATCAGCACAGCCAGAGGCAGAATTGGGCTGGGAGATGTTGGAAAGGGCACCCATGTTACTCCTCTTTAGTACTTTAGCCCAAACGTTCTAATTCAATGCAAGATTGTTCCCATAATCAATTTCACTTAGCTCACCATTAGATTGCTTTTTGATCAAAAGCAAATCTTTTACCAGCACACTGGCAAGTTGAAAAAAGCTTTTCTAGTTCCAAATAAGACAAACATATAGTATCTAAGCCTGCATCATTTTTGCACATTTTTTGTGAAAAAAAATTGTGCAAAAAAGATTTGTAAAAAGGATTTAGTCCCAAAGAACATGTTACATAGAGTAACCAGGTGTGGTAATGTTTGTGGGTTCTGAAATGCAGAGATGCCCAGACCCACCCCGTTATATCACAGCTCATGGAGGTGACCTACATGCAGAGCAGTGCTGGTGCTCCAGCTCAGGTAACAGGTCTGTGCATCCAGCCCTGCATCCCCCAGCTCTGAGCATCCAGCCCTGCATCCCCCAGCTCTGAGCATCAGCCCAAAGCTGCTGAGGGTTGGGGCTGGGCACTTGTGGCTTCCTGGTGCATCTGGGGAGGCCTCCGGTGTCATGGATGTCCATGTCCTGCAATGTCACTGGAGGCTCCCAGTTCCCTGTGGGATGATGGCAGGTCCAGCACAGGTAACTTGTGGTGGCCCTGCACTGAGGCCAGCCTTGTATTACAAATTAGGCACCATTTAAGGCACTGCTGCTGCATTGGCAAATGCGGTGTGGGTAACACCACCTTGCTGAAGGGCCAGGAGCTCTCTCAGGGGCAATCTGGGTCCTTGGACCTGGCTGGCAGCTGATCAGCAATCACCAGGACTCACCAGTGTTGGCGATGTCTCTCCTGCACTTCCAAAGCCAGCAGCGTTTCCTCCTGGCCCGGTTCAACCCCGGTGCTGATGCAGCTCTGCCAGCAAACTGCAGGCCAGGACTGGCAGCTCCATGAGAGCTGGGTGCAGGAGGCATCTGCTCATTTCCCTGCCTGTCACCCTGCCCAGGCACCCACCACTCCTTATCACAGAGCAGCAAACTCTGCCATGGCTATTGCCTCCTTGTCCCCATGCCCAGCACAGAGAGACTTTGCTCCCTGCCTGGTGTCACCCTAAGGCAGAGAGCAGCAGAGCCAGGCACAGCCCCTCCTGCAGCAAAGGCTGCACTGGCCATGCTGAGCTATGCAGCAAAGAATGGCTCCTGGGAGTTTGTTTTCCTTTATAATATTAGCCAAGATCTTGGGGATTGAGTGAGGAAACATGGGAACATGCTGCTCAGTACCCCATCCCACAGGCACCCATCCAGACACGAAATATCCCACCCCCTAACAAGGTAGGGTTGAACAAATAGGTACAAAGTCTAGAGGGTTATTTTCCATATGGGCAAACCCATTCAAACATTTGCACAGCCCCAGCAATAAAGCAACTGATTTGGCAAAAAAAAAAAAAAAAAAAAAAAAACAAACCAAAACACTCCAGATGTGTAAAAGAGGGCAATGAATTCTGCATTTCTCTGCTGCTGCAGCTATTTTTGATCTATGATATCATTACACACCAGGGCCATCAGCCAGCTGGCAGCCTCAGAGCCTCACCAGCCTCCACGCTCCAGGCATGTCAGAGGGCCTCCTGTGCTACACATTACACTGCATTTTTCTGATGTTCACTCACAAAGAATGAAGATAAAAAGTTGACAGTTTATTTCCACCCAAGCAAAGCGAGCAGCCCTACAGGCTGGGCTGAGCAGGGCACTGCAAACTGACCCATCACACCACACCGAGCCACAAATAAAACATCCCCATGGGTCAAACATTTATCAGTGGTTCTGTTCCAAAGTGAAAGGCAGCTCGTAAAAAAAAAAAAGTGTGCAGCTGAAAATTGGCTGCAGGAGCTGGAAAACACATCCTGAAAGCACCACCCACGTGGCTGAGCCTGGCAGCCCCAGCAAGCAAAGGTTCACTGGAGCTGAGCCTGTGACTGCAATTTCCTTGTTGCCCTCAGCCAGACTTTCCTGTCTTTCGGGGAACAGAACGTGCAGGGAAGTGCGAGGACAGAGTTTGCAATGTTTCCTCTTTATGCTAGCAAAGGGTTTTTAGAGAAAAGTGTAATTGCACACCCCAACCAGGGAAAAGCCTGGTAAAGGAGTACCGGAGCAGTGTGCATGTGCCTTTACTGTGAGGAGGGTGTGCAGGGAGAGACGGATGCCTCTGGAGGTTGCATAAAAGGACCTGTTTTCTGCTGCCCGCACTAGGATCGACCGGTCCGCTCAGCCCTTCGCTTCCAGGCTTAACCTGGACCTCTGGCACTTGTCTCGCAGCAGGCGATGAATAAGAGCGGGAGGAGAGCTCAGCGCTGTCATAGAAACGCCGCGGAGAAAGGAAATTCTGCCTCCGTCGCCCCAACCCCCTGCTCCAGACGCATTGTATAACCCCTTTTATTTACTTTCCAAGAAATCCACTTACAGCGCACATTAAAGCAGATCAAACCCCACCTCCCCCCCCTACCCCCGGGCCCGGGAAATGTCTGGCCAGGACCGGGTGGAGAAGGGGTCGGGCCAGGCGCTGACCTGCACGATGGGGCTGGCACAGGAGCTCTGCCAAGGCTGTGTTCTCGCCAGGCTCTGGGGGAAAGGACGTGTCCATCCCCGGCTGGACGAGTCCCAGCCGCTTTACATAATGGTCACCCCCTGGGCAGAGCTCTCTCTGTGACCCTGAAATTCTGCACGATGTGAGTGAGTGTCGGTGCTTGTCCCTCTCCAGGAGCACGTGGCCGATGGGATACCGGCCCGAGCAGCGCGGTTTGTCGGGCACCCCACCGCCCCCAGCACCTCGGGACATCCACGGATATGGAAGAAATGCCCAGCATCCCCCCTTCCCATCCCTATCCCCACCAGCCCTGCCTTACAACACTTCCCACGTCTTCCCGCTCCGGACCGTGCAGGCTTGGAGCGCACCGAGCCGCAGGGACACGGTGACCTACATTGTCACCCACACTGGTACTCTCCTGCTGCCACAGCCCGGCCCGTGCATCCCCGCCTGTCGGGCTGCTGGGCTGGCCCCTGGCACCCCTCAGCCCACCATCCGCACCCCCAGCCCCCGGGCCCGGCGCTCCTTACCCAGCTCGACCCCTCTCTGCGCCATCCTCAGCGCGTCCCGCGCGTCCCCGCGGGCCAGGCGGTGGCGGACGCGCTCCGCCAGCCCGGCCAGGCGCCGCTCCCGGGGCACGCATCGCTCCAGGATCCCGCACAGCACCACGCTGCACCTCGCCGCCCCGATGCCCGGCAGCTCCAGCCGCTCCTGGCACAGCGGGCAGCGGGACGGCCCGGCCCCGCCGAGGCACGGCTTGCAGAAGGAGTGACCGCAGGACGCGGTCACCGGCTCCCAGAGGAGCAGGCGGCAGCAGGGGCAGCGCAGCAGGTCCAGCCCCAGGGGCTGCCCGGAGGGGCTCTCCCCGCGCGGAGGGGAGCTCGGGCCGCTCATGGCGGCGCTGAGGGGAGCTGTCCTCCCTAAAGCCGGCGGTGCCCGCACGGCCCGGCCGCCGCCGCGCCCCCGCGCATCGCCCCGCTCCGCCCCGCGCCGCTCCCGCCCCGGCCGAGGCTGCGGCTGCCGGCCCGGCCCTGCCCGGCCCGCCGGAGCGACCCGCGGCAGGCGCCGGTGGCGGGGCTGCCCGGGCCACCATTGGCCGCCGCCGGCCGCCCCGCCCCGCCCCGGCCGCGTTTCGTAACGGAGCCCGCGGAACCGGGGCCGAGCGGGAGCGGGAGCCGGGCCCGGCGGGGTTGGTGAGCCGGTGGGTGCCGACCCACTCCGCTCCGCTGCCCGTTCACGGCAGGCGGGGATGCTGGGGGGCTCCGGAGCAGCCGGGTGCGGTACGAGTCGGACAGCGGCTCTGGAGCCGAGAGTCGGGCGAGGAGAGCTCTGCCCCGGACGGGCACGGGGCGCACTGAAGCAGCTCCAAGGTGCAGAGTGCTGGGGTGTTTGGGATGCCCCAGTGTGGGGCCAGGGCACTTTGGAGCCACTCACGGTGCAGGCTGCCTGGGGTATCCGGGGGTATCCTGTGGAGCAGTGCTGGGGCACAAGTCCTGGGGACACACGGTGCTCTGTGATGGAGACAGGAGAGTGGGATGCTCCAGAGTGCTGGCACAGGATACCTGGGCTCCCTCAGCTGTCTGAGGCTCTCTGGAGTGGGAGTGGGGTGCTGGCTGTTGTGGTGCTCCAGAGCAGGGCAGGCTGGTGAGGCTGGCTTGCACCCGATGCCTCTTTGCATTACCCTCCATGGAAACTCATCACGTTTGGGGGCAAAGGGGCACTCCTCCAAGGTACACGGGAAACCTCCTCTCCCTCAGATGCTCTACTTACCCAGAACCGAATGATTTCAGACCCTGTATGTGGACAATCCCCTTCCCACTCACAGACCCCCAGCATGGACCCGGTGTCACAAGGGAGATGCATCCCCTGAGCACACAGTCATACAGCAAAAAGCCAGCAGCTCTTGCACAGCAGGTGCCGAGAAAAACAGCTGAAATCTGTCACTTCTAGAGCTTAGTAGATCAGGATGATGCACATTCTCCAAGGGCTCATTTGTGTGTCCCCAAAAACAACCCAACCCCACGCACACACTGGCAGAGCTGCTCAGATCTCCAGTGGGACATCAGTGCTGGTGAAACCCGTGCCCCACTGAGGGAGTGGCTGGAGGAGGTTTGGGCTGTGGAGCAGGTTTTGTTTCCAAATCTATTGTAATTACTTTAAACGGCTCATAAGTGGTTTTTAAAGCTCAACAACTAAGCATTTTATGTGGGCTTGATAGGCTTCATTGCTTTCTCCGTTATCTTTTTAAGTGATCCCTCCAGACAGGAGAAATCTCAGGTGGCATTTGGTAACACTGCCCTGAAAAGCTGAGCATGGCATTAGGGACAGTCTGTCTGGGACTCTGCCCAGCAGGGGACATTTTCCATGTCCCCATCTGCAGGGTCAGCCTTTAGCTCCCCCCTCCCACCCCTGCCTCACAGGACCTTGCCCATCCCTTCCCCCAGCAGTTCTCCCATGGGTATTTCTCAGGTGGACAAAGATCATTCACACCAGACACTCTCCTTTCATGGTTTAGTTCTCACCAAGGCTTGTTTTTCCACCAAAACCTGGCTATTGACTAAAAAAACAAAGATTGCCACCAGGGAGGCTTCACCATTTTTGCCTCAAGTTTACCCCTCAGGAAGGGCACGTTCCTGGCTCGTGAGCCATGGAATGAGGCTGATTTTAGCCACCACAGCCAACATTGCAGCAAAGTGCACAACAACCTGTTTGTGTGGCTCAGCCTGGGAGCAGCAGCCTTTGCCAGGTGAGGAGAGCAGCATCTTTCATCACCCCAGCCAGTTCCTGTGGGAGACGCAGGGCTGTTCTCCTGGGACCTGCCTCATTCTTTCCCTCACCTCCTGATTCACTCCACAACCACGTGTGGGCTCTCCAAGCAGAGCAGGCGTGCTGCTGCTTTGCATAATGCAGTTTAAAATCAATCAACCACGACACACGAGGCCATGGCAAACCAGGCTTCATTAGCACCAGCGTGCGAGAACATTTTGTTTTCTTCAGTCTGTCCAGAGCTGAGCTGGTTCAGAACTCCGAATGCTTTCTCTTGTCACTGCCCTGTTTGTGCTGACTCAGTACATAACTGAAAAAGAAAAAAACAAAAGCTTTAAATGCTTAATGCTAACCATTCTGCTGGCCAGATGAGAACTTCACGTGTTGCATAACCCAGGACAGATCACACTGTGTGTAGGAACTATTTGCAAAGCACAACAGGATTTTTAATTTTTTTTTTTTTTCAGTTTAGAGATGGGAAATATCTCAGGGTCAGTGCAGGGTGAGGAGTTCCAGGTGCTGCTGCAGCTCCTCCTCTGGCTCCCAGCCACACGTCCACTGGTGCTTCAGCCCCAGCACAGCCTCATTAACGTGGTCCAGACTGCTGACAGCCCAGCGTGGGGATCAGGGATTGCACACCAGCTGTGTTTGCTCATCTTTAGTGCATAAATATTTGTTGAAGGCATTGACACTTGTTTTTGACACATCAGGGTTTAAGGAGTGGCTCTGAGGGGGCAGCACCTTCCCAGTGTTGCCTTTTTTGGTTCAGAGAGATTTTTGTTTGCCTGTGTGCTCCTGAGGGTGTCTTCAAAGGCACCACAAGCACTTGTAAACAGGAACAAGCAGCCTGAATGTCATGACCCCTTTTCCACACTGCCATCCCTGCTCTACCCACCAGCTTCCTCCAGCACCATCAGACCTGAAAGTCCTGTTGCACAGGGGTGAAACAAGTTCTGCCATTCCTAAACCCACACAGGGAGGAAAGTGTCAGAACCCCAGCCAAGGAGGGGGAGTGTTGCTACCAACAAGGGCCACACTGGGCTCACACTGGCATGTCCAAGGGCCACCCTGGGCTCACAGCGGCATGTCCAAGTGCCAGGCAGCCTGTGGGTGATCAGGCAGAGAGCCTCAGCACCTGTGCAGGCACCCTTGTGCCCCAGCAGTGCTGCACCTGGATCCTGGCTGTCTGCAAGCCTCCAGAGCTGGCCTAAGGAATTATTTTTATACCTCAGTACGTGCCTGTAACACGCAGGGAGTTATTTGCATCATCCTCCCTTCCCCCCCCATCCCAGCCCAAAGCTGTCAACAAACACATCAGCTTCCTGGAATTTTTTCTTTCTTTCTTTGCATCACAGTATTTCTAGATCCAGGATGTTATTCAACCAGCAGGTTTCCCCATTTGCTACGTGTGGTGCAAAGCCTTTCCTGGGAAGTGGAACAAAAGGAAGTGGGAGCAGGTGGTGTGGCAGACTCTTTGTCCTGCGCTCATCTTTTATAACCTGCATCTTTGTGTTTAGCTGGGGGAGCTGCTGCTGGTGGTTTGCTCTGGGCAGAGGCAGGCAGATTGCCACAGTGCTCCAGGAGGTTTGGGATTCCAGTTCTGCTCTGTGCTGGCACTGGGCAGGAAGCAATCATATAAATTACATGGTATTGTTCCCAACTCCTGAAACTCTGCTGCTTGAGTGCTCAGAGGGGTCCTGACTCTCAGCACAGAGGATCAGATGTAAACAGGGTCAGGGAATTAAGAAAACTTCAGTATTTTTTCCTTCTGACTCACACAGGCTTTGCCTGAGGCAGCATCATTCCTAGAGAAATGAGTTGACTTTCACATGGGCTGGTGGGACAGAGAGCTGCAAAGGAGCATTATCTCATTGTTCATGTAACCAGGCTTATGCCTGAACTCTGGAAACTGGAGAGGCACAGCGGGAGAGCCCAGATTCCTATCTGGCTCATTTTAGTCCCTCGAGCCAAACATCTTGGCAAAGAGGTTGGCAGAACATTAACAGCCAGCCTTGGAAGCAATGCCCACATAAAATAGATGGAGATGTCTTTTTCCACAGCATGGGCAGTCATGTACAAACTACACACCCCAAGGAGAGAATACAAAAACAGATCAGAGCTGTCCCCATTATCCTGGGGGGAAGCCCTGGGATGGATGACAAGACCATGGGCTGTGGTGCAGGGTGCTGAAAGCTTGCCTTGATGCCTTGCAATTGTTTTATTGGTATTTTTACTGAAGCTGAAGATCCTCCATCTATAGGAGTTCCCAAGGAGGAGCCCAAAGTCAGCAGGGCTTGTTCAACACCACCTAAACCATGGGGAGGATAACAAAGTGACTAAAGGAGGAAAAGTCATAACAAGACAACTCCCTGAAGACACCTCTACATTGCAGCAAGGTCCATTCCTTCCAAGAAGATTGGCGTCCAGAGGGACCTGCATCCCAGTGGGCCAGACCTGCAGGCCACATCGCCCTCTGCATCTTCTGGCTGGGGAGAACAGATTTGCAATGAGCCTTTACTGCAGGGTCAGACAGGAGCTGCCCCTTCACAAGCTGCCGTGTGTCCGTGTGCCTGCCCCGTGGCCTGGGGTGACACCGTGGTGGCCCGTCACTGCAGCTGGGGACTCAGCAGCTCTCGTGGCCTTGGCTCCCTGCCTCAGCAAGGAGCGAGTACGTGCTGCCTCCCTCATTTCTTCCTTTTCCCTTTTTCCTGTGCAGCTCCCAGAGATGCCAGCAGGGCTGGCGGGCACCCAGCGCTGCCAGAGGCGGCACAGGGTGGGCTCTGCAGCTGGCACAGCCCTCTGCAGGGATGCCTCTGGCCTCTCAGGCCAGATCCAGGGGCTGATTTCCTCATCCCTTATTCCTTCCTTATTCCTTCAGCTCCAGCATCTCCACCACCCCGTGTGTCCTTCTTGGTGAGGACAAGGAGCTCTTGCAAAGCCAGTGGCTCAATCCCATCCAAAAGCTCTGTCTGACTGTGTGGAGAGGGAAGCACCTGGAAGTCTCAGGGGGAAATGCAGAGGGCTCTCAGGGTCTCCCTGCAGTTTCCCTTCCCCTCAGCCAGACAGAATGAAGCCCTAAACACACCCTGGGCTGGATTTCAGGCAGGATGAGCAGGGCTGCTCTCTCCCACAGTTATAAAGAGCTGCCTGTGTACCCCTGTCTTGTTCACAGCAGTGCTGGCCTGG